TAAAATGTTATAAATTAACAATTTATTAATTATAATATTTAAACCCCTTTTTTTAAATTAATATCATTGAACTTTATATCTTTCTCTATATATAAGTTAACTGTATAAGATAAAATAACTGCAACAGATGCAATTGATAGAGTGCATAGATTAGAAAGAAATATCTCTATATGTAGAATTTTTTATATAAGAATTTGTCTTTTAAAGAAAAATTTTCTTTTTTTCTTAGAAAAATCCAACTTATAAGTTACATTTTTATATTTCATAGATTTAAAATAATTTAATTATAAAATTGGAATTTTTGTCCAGATTGTCCAGATGATGTCCAGATATTATTTACTGCTTTTGGTCGACAAAAAAATAAAACAAAAAAATTAAATTTCAGCAAAACGAAAATTTATAGCTTACTTATGGGTATGCGTTATTTCAGCTCTTATTAAATTAATATTAATTATCAATTGATATATTTTATTATTTTTGTCATATAATTGCCTAAATAAATTGATTTTTTTTAACATAATCTGTAACTGATATAGATTGAACAATTTTTATATTAGTATTTAAATTAATTTCTTTTAAACGTATTTGTCAACTTGACTTAAAGGATTATTTGGTGTACGAACTAATTTTTTTAAAGTCATCAAAAAATTTTCAAATGGAAATGCCGAAAATGATGTCAATGAACATCCCATATGAGTTACATCATCTGCTATATGAATTAAATTATGAAAATTAATACTTTGAATATGAGAACCATAAAATTTAGGCAACAAACGAAAAAATAATATTAATAATTTTTTTGCATTTTCTGCGTTTAATATTGCCAAATCATCACTACATAATAATCGACATGCTACATATAAAAGAGAAAAGTGCTTATATTTATCAGTTGGAAGAACATGACGAAGTACTAATATACCACTGTATAACAGAAAGAAACGAAATTGTGTCGCTTTCCAATTTTTTAAGTTACCAATATCAAAAGTTTTTCTTTGGAATTCTGAGGGAATTTGACCAGATAAACCATGGAGTAAATTGCTTAATAATAATCGATTTTGTGGCCCAATACCACTATTCTTGGGACCACCGAATACAATATTGTTTAATAAAGTTTTGTAATACCAAGAAATAAAAGGTGCATTGAATCTAGAACAACTGATTTTACTGGATCAAATCCTGGAATTTTTAATAAAGGAGAGATTTCGTTATCAAGATGATGCTGAGGCTGCCTACGTTCTTTGAATGATTGTTCATTGCGTTCTTCACAAGTAGTTCTCGAATATATGCGTTTATTTTTACCAACTGTTTTGCCTTTTACACCGAAAAAATTGTATTCTCATCTTAAGAATGTCCCACTTATCTTTAGAATATCTGCCACTAAAATAGGCGCCAAGAGGATCCTCTTAATATAAGAGGAAAATCTTCTTAATGTGTATTCTTAAGATAATATACTAAATGAAATATTCTTAAAATTATATACTAAATGAGAACCTAACCTAATCTTATCATTATATTAATTAATATTAATAATAAAAAGATCCTTAATAATAAAAATAAACAATTTTACAAATTTTAAGAAAAGTATATTTCTTTACAAAAGTTTTTACATGTTTTTTTACAAAAGTTTTCTTTACAAAAGTTTTTACATGTTTTTTTACATGTTTTTACATGTTTGTTTTACTGAGAACCTATAGAATATCGCATACAAATATATAGTTTGTGGAACATATTTTTTAATCGCTATATATACATTTATAAAATATGTTTAAAAGATACATATAAATTTCCATCAGCTCCTATTCTACATGAAGCTGGATAAAATGAAATAAGATCTTCGTAGTTTAAAAAAAGCAGCTCCATAGTTGGTGTTACTTCATAACAATGAAGATGACTATTAAACCCAACAGTTTCAAAAATTGATAGAATAAAACCTACTCTATTATTATTATTTGGTAATTTTACAGTCCAATGTAATAATCCAAAAAGAGGCAAATTATTTTTATAGTTTATCGCAAGCACCATATTTTTCTTATATTTAGTATTACAAATAGTTGCTTCTTCAACTACCACAGAGTTCTCAAGACCAGGAGGTAAAATATATTGAAAATCATCATAGTTATAACAGTTAATCATAATTTTTTCTTTGAAATGAAGAATTACATCTCGTTGGAAGCCCTGCTTGGATAAAAAGCGAGCTGAGAGACTTAATAAATATTTCTTAGCCACAGTTAGAGGCAGATTTTTGCGACAAGTTGTAGCTTTAGCTACTTGCTTTATCACTGGTCGATGCTTTCCTTCCATACGCATTGACCATACATGAATAAGAGGACCAATAGATCTCATAATTCTGGGATAATGTACCATGTTGTGGTGTTTTGGTTTCAATGTCTTGGAAAATAATTTGCAATATAATTCATGATGTTCAGCAATCAAAGTTGCAAGATACATGGTTAAATCTGTATCTACAAATGGAGCAGTAACAATATCTAATATTTGAACCAAACGAATGTACAACTGCCAAATTTCCTCTACCTCAGGCACCAAATCTCCAATTATGAGACCAAAATGTCTAGCAAAAAACAACATTTCTGATGCAGACATTCTCAATTTTTCTCCTCGAATATGATCAAATGTTATAATCGACGATTTATTACCTATATCAAAACCATAATCAAAATTTTGTATTCGATCATTGAGAGTTTGAAGAGTAAAATATCTTTTGACAGAAATTAAGTTTTCTAAAATCATACACAAATCATAATGACAAACGCCTTCCAAAAGATCGTGCATTAAGTCTACAACAAGATTAGTAATTACATGATAGGTGTGAAGTTCATTCCAAACACATCGATCCTTAATACCTGTTAATGATATATTATTGATAAGAATATCAGCTTCATAATTTTCTCTATTACATAAGAGCAACAAATTTTCTCTAACTTGTCTTCTCATAACTAGTTTATGTTCTTTACAAAAACGGCAGTAATAGTTAGCATTAAAAGATTCAGTAAATCCAGTAATAGAATGAAATCCTAAATTGTCAGCAAGAAGCAAGCATAAACAAAAGTAAACTTTCTGATTGCCAGTTGTTGTTCGCACTATTATGCCATTGTTTTCTAGATCTTTGAGTTCATTTATAACAGGCCGGAAAGCGTTTCCATTATTTATATGTCTGTCATTTGATAAAAATATAGAAGATACAAAGATATTCTCAAGAGTGGACATATGATGCTGAGGAATACATGGAATTTGATAATATAATGCTCCAAGACTATGATCACCGGCATGTGAACCTGTGTGATTATCAGGTTCCACATCATCAAAATATATAAATAATGGCAATACAAAACGATCTTTGAAATAGATATTTTTAATATTTTTCCACAGAGGACTTTGAATTATATTAGTAAACTTATCAGAATTATTGAGATTTTCAATATTGACCAAAATAGCATCAAAAACATCAGGTAATTCTAGAAAGTTCTTCAAAACATATTTTATTGGAATGTATTGACCTGTCAATTCTATTGGCCTTAAAACAGTAGTATTTCCAACTTTTATCATTTTCTCTGAAACTCCAATTTTATAAGTTTGAGGACATATATAACATTGAGTTGCTTTAAATGCATTAATTCTCTGTGTCTCTGTCTCTAAGCCTTGAAATGCATTCTCTATTGTATTAAACATCTCAGTCAAATGATACATATCAATATTTTGTCTTTGTTCAACATCAAATATAGACATAGTTTTGGATCGAAGTATAGTAATAAAACCACTCAAAAAAAATTCAGAAAAAAGTTCCATTACCTCCTGCACGTGAGCTCTGTTTAAAGTATTATTAGTATATAATTTAGCAACTAAAGCTCTTGATGATTCAAATATAACATTCTTGAAATCAAGAGCAGTAATAGCATCATTATGCATATCTCTAATCTGGTCATTTTGATTACCAATTTGTTCAACGGCATTTCTTATATTTAATTCTACATTTTCATTAAGGGGTTACACTACCCAAGCGCGTCGAAAAAAATAAGCTTTTTCGTGAATTTTTTTCTTGAATTCTAGGTGGTGGATCAAAACAAAAATTTAGGGCTTTATTACACATATATTAAAGTTCTCAAAAATATTTTTTATTTATATATGTATAACAAAATGGCGTCGTGGCAGTATAAAAAACAAAAAAATTTTTTTTGTAAGAGAAAAACGGTGTGCACCGTTGCAGTCCTGGTGTGCAATCTGGAACAAAAAAAAAAATTTTTTCTTAATTTACAATAGATTT